GCTAGAGTTTCCGGGACTCTGGGCAAAGAACCGTCGACTACACTGTAAGTGGAGGGACCATTGAAGATGCTTTGGGTGGGAGATGACGGTGTTCGACTTCCCTGATGCCATCGACCACTACGTAAAGTACTCTGTATTAAACTTCCGTTGTTTCTCTCAGAGCCAGCCGTTGTCTCGTTTCCTCCCGTGTCTGCCAGGTTCACCCCCAATAGCCGACAGCGTTTCCCTAGAGAGGTTCATCTTGGTAAGCTCTGATTTTACGGAGTACACATTACCCGTACGGCGCACACTCAGGATCCCACGCAATGAATAGACTCCAGCAAGGGATTGTCATGCAGAAGCTTGGATTCGCGGGTGGCTGCTTGCCCTGCCTTTAACACGCGATCTTATTTCTCAACTTCAGACGACGGGCCTCTCGGCTCATGGACCAGGCCTTACACGAGGCATTGTATCCGTGATTCCGTCCAGCGAAACTGCAAAGAGACTAGGCCATCGCTACGGAAGTACGGGGCACCAAAGAAGAGAAACAAGCCTGCTAGCGCCCATCGGTCTCTTACCAAGCGTATGGTCAGAGACGTATCACTCCGTACCGTACGCGGGAAGGGAGAGAGAAAGTTGCTGTTGAGGAAAGACTCTAAAGTAAAAAAGCACCACCACTTTCAGCGCCTCGGCCTCCCGCCCACTCCTTAATTCATGTCAAACAAGTGGATGGTCCAGGGTCATCGTAGCGCATTCCACCAATGAGCCACCGTCTGTAGATCGCTTGGTTTCAAGAACCTGGTCTCGACATCCCACTCTTCTCGGTCACTGTCTTTCTCTTTCTGTCTCTTTTGTTTTCGTCTGTCAGCTCTTCCATGGATTCGCAAAGGAGATAGTGCTTCAAAGCTTGGGAACATTCCGAAAATCCGGGGAACAGGGCACTCGACTTCCAGTCTTCCATAGCTGCAGACTCACAGCCATCACTACTAAATAACCCAGCCGTAGAGACAAGCTCTGTCAACCCTTGATCCATCCGCCATCAGCTCATTTTCCAGCTTCTTGATTAAATCATTAAATTCATCTTGTTGGCTGCTGGCCCCCTAATCAGTCTAGCGCGTATGGGTTCAACGTTGGGGCCTAGGCTTTGGTCTGCCCGGCTGCCGTCTGTTCTCTTCTCGGTTTCTCTTTCCACTCGCTTGCAGGCGCTGTGTGAACGTCTTGTCTATCCCTTGTCACACCTGTCAGCGTTGACGGGGGTTGCCTTGACGCTTCAGCGTTTACCGAGTCGCAACTAGATTGGCGGTTCATGAGTGTTGCTATGCGAGTTGGGATGATGATTACACTTTTTTTTTCTTGAGTTTTTTTTTCTTCCCGCCTTTTTCGTATTCATCTCAACTTGATTCGATTCCCGATTCTTTGTCATCCACACGAATCTCATCACACAACATCATCTCGATTCCCGAGTAAGGTATGAGATGAGAAACAAACCTCTCTCTGACGAACTATGAAGCCATCCACAAATTGAACATCATCAATGATCGTTTTAACCACCTTTGAAGGCGACCAGACTGCATCCTTAGATGAACCTTGAGAGCGATTCCATATTGATAATCACTATTCTAGATAATTGAGTGATTACACATCAACTGCCGGACTGGTGGTTTCTTTTCTTGTCTTCATATATCACCAACGCTTCTCTGACAGGACCCCAGGTTGTTGACATCACCTCGCCTCATGCCAACCGCCAAAAACTTCCCGGCCCATACTCTGTGATTCCATGGACCACCATGCAGATAGCCGCCTTCGCCCTGCGCCTAGCTAGCATCCAGCATCCCGTCCCAAACTGCTGCAAATCCCTCAAATCATACAGTCAGCTCATTGAAATTCCCCGAAATTCTAGACCTCCTCTTCCTGCCGCAGTCCTCCTCCTTCAAGAATAACGGGTCACGGCCCACGACAAGGCCAGTCAGTCAGTGTCGGTCTCCAAAAGAGGATTCTCGCCTAGGTCCCAAGACCCTTGTCAACACGACCATCCCGCCCCTGACGCTAATCCCAAAATCATTTCGAAATTCTCCTGCCAAGCACCCCCGGCTCCCACTCCCAACTCCACCAGCCAACAAAGTTGTAACGCCTTGGGGCTCCAGTGTAGGCTTGGCTGGGCGCCGCCGCCGCCGCGCCTCTCCCGCGCTTCTTTTCTCAAACTAAAGTGTACCCATACGAAAATACCGACAAAATCCGGAACCGTGATTCGTAGGGTCTTCTTCTGGATCGTCATGCTGCTCGCTACCCTTTTTTCGACGTAGTATTCCGCCCAGTCGATCATATTCGTCTGGATCTTGGTTATATTTCCCAACAATTAGACTTTCTTTCTCCGTCATTGGTGATTTGCACACGGACGCATCAAAAAGAAGCTAGATATAATCTTTCATCTCAAGAATAGATGGCACTGCGGAAATTCGGTTCGAGTACAAAGGTAACAGACAGCTGAGACAACTTTCCCAGCTACCTATATCACAGTATATCCGGAAACCAAATCCGAGCAAATGCCCCAAGAACTCTGTCCGGCATTTCATGCCGATGAGCGGATACCCCTCCGGCCCGGGGCACAATGAGAGCAAGAAACAGCGGGTAATCTCACGACGCCCTCCCACATTGCCAAATGCGCAATCTTAGCAAACATATTAACCTTTGACACGCACCTTTTGCTACCTGGTCGCTCGATTCTTTGACTGCGATGGAACAAGGCCCATACAGAAACAATCTCAAGATTACCTAAAACTCTATCTCGAGGCAACTCGCCACGAGTCAAGACTCGAGAGACGAAAAAAAAAGAAAACTGCTATTCCCGCAGATTACCATCATTTTTGTTGAGTGTATGATCTTTGACCCGGCGGCAATCCGCAGCCACTTTCACTCTCGCTACAGCCCCAGAACTTTCATATAGATGGTCACAATCCCTCCAGTTCCTCTACGCATCCCAATTGCCTAGCAGCCCAAGACCTGGGATGCAGGCGTCCGTACGAAAAGGCACGCGATAGACTGCGCTGTGGGATATAGATCTCATCAGGTTCCACCAATGCCATCCTTGTCCAATTCTTTGCCTAGACATCAGTCCTATAATTTGCCACTACTTTGTCATGGGATTATTCCGGGGACAAACTACGGACACACTCTCATAGTATGCGCGCGGATGACGTCCGAGCCTGACTGATCGAAGCTTCTCTCCCCATGTAGCTTTCATTTTCCGCTCGATCGCGGGCTACTCCGTAATCAACATAGGCCCCCATCGTTAATCAGTAGTACGGATACTCGCATTCGGGCGGGCAAGCAAGCAGCCTGTTGGCAAGTTGATGCAACCTGTTGGCCGGGGTCCGAGGAGAGACCCGACGTCGTGACATCTTCTCAAGCAATGATGTTGCCTCGATCTATCCTGGATATTGTCATTCTACATAACATAGATGTTTTGCAATAATTCGTATTGTTTTGCTATCAAGCTAGTAGTCGGAGATGTTTGAGATCTCAGGGCAACGGCTTCCTCAGGAACATTATGTGCTGGGTCTTCCCTGAGGACACATCACGGAGCGGTCCGGATAATCAAGCCGCAGGTCCTAGCAAAGCCATACGTGTTAGCTTCACCATATGCCTTGAATGATTGAAAGGATGGCGGGCCACGAACATGTCCATCCATCTCTTCTCCAGCCTATGTGTTGCCTCCTGGCTTCACAAGATATTGCGTATCCCTTCATGTCCCCTTGCACCGGGCGATGGTTACTGACTCAGATAAGTCGAACAGATCTCATAGAATCTATAGATAAAGTATCAAAAGACCATCACGAAATGAAGAGGACTACTTCCTTGAGTTCCTTTCCCAAAAGAACCCAGCGAGAGCCCCTCTGGAATTTCGCGAGAGCCCGAGTCAGCCCTGAGAGGGGGGATCCCGTCGCAGATCGACACTTTCTCAGATGACTTTCTCGATGGGCGGTCTAGAATCTCTGACATCCCATCGGAACCCTGACCCCTGTCAGGTCTGGTGGAAAAGCGCAAGCGACATCAAAAGTGATGGACGTATGTATTCCCGCCGGCTTCGCTGATGAGATCAAAGCTTCAGCGTCCATCACTGCAGAACCACACAGCTTGGTCGCCGGCCATGTTTTCTCCTCACCAAGCTGGCTGTGATATTTCTTGCTCCCTTTGAGGGGTTGGTCGAATATCGTCTAGGATCTAGATTCGTGGCGATGAGGAATTCGATCTTTTCCCTTGCTTGTTCGCTCGAGCTCTCTCTGTCATGTTGCTGCTGCGAGAATATAAACACTTTTTCCATACTCCCTCAATCTTTGAAACATCGACCAGGAAACATTGGGTTCTATAAGATCTTCGAGCTCAAATATTCTGCTTTTCAGTGATAAAATGTGTTGAATCCATGTGCCTTCCTCACAACAAATTGAGTAACCACCTCCCGGCCGCAATAAGCAACGTGCTTTTCAACAAGGCGGCCTCTCTCATGCCGTGCCCATCTGCTTGCCGACTTCAGAGAACACTAAGTCGTCACGGTCATCTTCTACTCGTCTTCGATGATGGATGCAATACTATGAATTTTGAACCCAGTAATCCATCTTGGGGCCTAACGCAGCGGATATGACTCCTGATATAGTCCAGTGGTCATCGAGTATACTTTATCTATTATCTTAGCGGAAAACATCATAGACAATTCTCCGCATGATGGCTCAGGACTCCCATCGACATGTCGTCAAAATTGTCTCAAGCTCCTCCAAGATTGCTCCTGTATCTCGTGTTGGGCATCTTGATGCAAGACAGAAACCTGATTAGACGAAGAAGAGGAAAATATCAGACTACGGGCCTAGACTGATCGTTGGACGTTTCAATGACTACCTACATGCACTCACTAGACTATACACATCACATCACTTCACACTTCTGACGTGAGGAATCTGGAAAAATGTTTCAACTTCTTAGTTCTTGTCTATCCACAGCCTTCCATTCCTGAAAACAGAGAAAAACGTCTACGGATCATATGTCTTCAGCCACGTCTCGGGACGTATATCTCCAGTCTCCCCCCCAAGCCGCTTGATCCTATCCAGAAACCAATCATCCTGGGCCGTCGCCATCGCCCAATCCAGAACGCTGTACCGAATCGTCTCGGGATCAGACCCATGCTCGCCAAGGTTCACCTCACCATCACGTTCCATGATCCCCCTCGGTTTCAAAAACGGCAGCACGTTTGGCGTTGGCAGCAGCGCCGCAAAGATCCGCTTCCTACGCTCGTCGGCATCCCCCCTCAGAGCCTCACGCAACCCTCCCCACCGCGTCACGAGCTCTGAAGGCAAAGCCACCTCTTTATACATGTCAAATGTAAAGTTACTCTCGAAGTTGAAGAGCGTACATGCGGGCAGCGGCGTGCCGGGCTGCCAGCGCTCAATGTTGCTGCCGACGCGTTGCATCGACCACGCATGTATTTCGATTTGCTTCACCATCTGCGTCCACTCGCTTCTCCGGGAGGGGCGATCTCTTTTCGCTTCTTTGTGATGCTCCCTGGTGAAGACACCGCCGAATAGGACGTCCATGACCTGAAGTTCATCCTCACGCTTGACCCGAGCGCCGTGTAAGAGGAGAAGCTCGACGGCCGGAGCATCGAGCCAAAACACTGCATAGTGGAGGGGCGAGAAGCCTTCCCTGTCGCATAAGTTCGGGTCTGCACCGTGTTCCAGGAGCCACTTGAGCAGTTTTGGCCGGTAAAAGTTTGCGTCGCCGAGAGAATGGTCGAAGCGGTGACCGAGGAGAGCCAGGAGCGGCGTGATGTAGAGCGGCTTTATAACGGTGTTGATCTGATCCCTACCATCTTGTACCAAGTCGAACATGGCCTGTGGAATCTCGGGGTCGTCCGAGAACGGGTGGACGAAGAACAACTGGAGCGGGGTGTACCTACCAAAATCCCTTGTGTAATAAATGTAGCCATCCATCCAAAAGGATCTTAAAATCCTGGCCATGAGGTTGCTGCTTGGGCACCCGAGAGCATAGTTCCCGTAAGACGATACTGCTTCGGCAGCCAGAGGGTGGCTCATTATTAGATTGAAAGCCGCTTTTATGGCGCATGCTATTTCCTCATTGCTCTTTTGATGTGCTTCCAGGGCATGGTAATCTGGTAGAAACAAATCGTGAAGGGGTGTCACCTTGAAGAGCTCGCTGTCCCTCACGAACTTACTGCCCTTCATCTTCTTTCTAGGTTTCTCTCCCAGACAGGCCCCAAGCGGGTGAGCGCCCAACTCGAGCAGCGTTCGGATGTGAGCAACGTTGAGCTGCCTACATGCGAGATTGAGAGCTGTCTGGGGGATCTTCCGGCGAGGTCCGTGTTCGGGAATGAGAGGTTGTCGAAGGTCTATGCTAGCCGTGGTATCTTCGAGCTTGACGCCCTGTCGGACAAGCTCCCTTATTGCAGAAGAGCAATCTGTCTGACGGAGACAGACAGCATGTAGAGCATTGATGCCGAACTCGACAGGTATATGTAGCGGCGCGCCTGCTAGGGTCAGCCTGCGGACCATATCGCCGGAAACAGCGTGATGAAGTACCGGAGTATTCATACGGAAGCTAGTTATGCCTCCGTGATGAAAGTCTGCGCCTCGATTGATTAACATATCCACCAAATCGACATGGTCTTGAGCAACAGCAATAGCAAGGAAGAGTTCATGCGGGTCAGTAATCTTGGTCAAGAAGCGTGGTGGGAGAGACCTGAGAATAGTTTTGGAAATGGTCAATGCATTCTTGGGAGCTAGCATGGCGGCATGGAGGGGCGAGGGTTGCCGAAAAAGGTCTCTTTTAAACTCATACAAGCACATGCCTGACTCTGAGTTTGCAGCAAATGGACGCGGATTCCACCACGGGGGATGACGGTCGGCAAAGCTGAGTGCTGGATTAGCCCCGTGGTGCAGAAGCAGGTCCACGACTTGAGCATTGCCTTGAGAGGCAGCCACCATAAGTGGTGTCCACAAAGACTGTAATAGGCCCCGTGGGACGTAGTCCGGTTTAGCTCCGGGCTTCTCAAGGGCCTGGCGGAGGAGATCAACGTGGTTGTGCACTGCGGCGTGGTAGACGGCCCTGGGGTTTTCGCTCTGGGCGTCCCACCGGAGAGCAATGTCGTTGATCATTTTGTGGTAGTACTTGTTGACCATACCCGCGTTGAGCATGGCCATTGTGGGATGCATTCCCTTGGCGGCCGATATGATGTTGCGTCGAACTCTTACATCCCTGAAGTCTCTGACAATGTCATTCTTGACGTCGCTGTCGTTGTCTTTGAGTAAGCCGTATCTCGGTAATACAAACTCTTGCCTCTTTATCTCGGGCTGAAACTCGCCAAGCCATTGTGCTATCTCGAGGTAGAGTTCTGCCGGTAATTGAATCCGGAACTTGCTCTGCTCGGTGGCTTGGTCTGGAAAAGACATGTTGCAGTATGTTTGAAGATTCAAATTCTGGTTTTGTTGAAGAAAATCGGTTGGGGTGGTGAAGACGATCTGAGTGTTGTCGCTGTGTGGATGTTATCTGTCATGTGTCTGTTTTGCGAAGTTAATGCCCATGAGTGTGCTGACAAGCCCTGTTAAATACGCAGGTTGTTTCACGACTCTCGACATTCTGTACTATGACTCCAGGAGAGTTCAAAAGTGTCAAAGGTCATTGTGTAAGCTCGTCATTGTTCGATTGCATAAAGCTCAAAGAAAGGTATTTGGTTCAAGCTTCGAGGTTGTGATTCATTTCTAGGCTGCGTAAACTGGCTCGTGGCTGACGATGTACTAGCATCGCAGCGGACACTGACACGGACATGTTGTTCTTTCCATCATATCGTCATTGTTCGTTGTTTATTTCACTTTCTTTTTGGTACCCGCTTTCTTTGGGGGGCCTTTGATTCTTCTCGGTCAGCGCGCACAAGAGCATTGTTTGCGCTTACCACTTGGCGTCCTTGCTGGCGAGGAAGCCCTTGAGGATGCCGACAACCTTCTCGAGGGAGGCGAGGTAGACGCGGAGCTCAGCGGCGACCTTGTCCTGGTCAGAGCCGAGCTTGGCGTAGAAGTCCTTGCGGTAGGGGCAGGCGCTCATGGCGGCGCTGAAGATGGGCTTGACGAGGAAGCTGTGGTGGGGCTTGAGTGTGGTGGCGTAGGCGTTGCGGAAGGACTCGGAGAGCTCCTCGGACTCCTTGGCGACGTTCTGGCTCAGGGCGATGCAGGTGAACTCGAGACCACTGGAAGAATTGGTATCGTTAGTTCCGGCTGCTGTGTTGTCGGTGATAAGGGGAGCTCAGGGGCAGACTTACCGAACCAGCCAGAGGAGACCCTCGGTGGCAACGTGCTTCTTGGTGGCCAGCTCGGCCTTGACGAGCTCCTGAAGGGTGGCGGACTCGCCGGGAGCAGCCAGCTGGCGCTCACGGATTTTCTGTACAAAGAGGACAAGTCAGTCGTTGTTCGTTGATGTATCATGTATGTAGTTGTAGGAGCCGTAGAGTGGCATCCGAGCTTCGTGACAAGGGATTCGGAACATTGGTAAAGGGTGTCGGGGGTATCGAGGGTATCGAGAGGAGTCAGGTAGTACCTTGATGTTGCCGCCCATGTCGCTCTTGACGGGACCGAAAGCAACGCCTCCAAGGGCATCTAGAAGAGTTAATGGTCGTTAGAGACATGAAACCATCAAAGGCTCGGTGCCTCGGCTGGTATTCAGAGAGAGCAGCCGTGCTGGGGAACATACCGAAGATGGTGGTCAGAGACTCGGAGGCATCGAGGAAGTCGGAGGTAGGGATGGCATTCTCCTTGTCGGCGTCGGGCTTGACATCGACAAATGACTTCTTGAAGGTGTCGAGGTAGGTTCCTCCGGGGGGGATCTGAGCGGCCATTGTGTCTGATTTGGAGGGGTAGTTGATGTGGCTGAAAGATGTATTTGATGAGAGAGAAAGAAGAGAATAGAGGAGCAGAAGCGTAGAAGAAAGGGAGGAGATGTAGTTAGGTAAAAGAGCAGATGTTCCAGGAGCTGTTCAGACGAGAAGCGAAACCCAAAAAAAGGGACAGGACGGGAATCGAGGGGCGGTCAAGCAAATGGCCCCCCGGGAAGCCACGCATACGCAACAACCCGGACAGCAATAGCAGCAGCAGCCAGCAGGAGCTTCTCATGGGCCATGGCGGGGACCTCTCCCTGGAAACCCCACCATCTGGGACCTGGACCGCCCATTGGAGATCCAACGCGCTAAGCCCAAGCTGTCACAGTGGGGGTGCCGGATCCACTTGGCCGGCTGCTCGTTTCTGATACGTTGATACAGTGCGGATAATGATTACCCCTCATTCCGCTCAAGCCCAATCACGTGCAGATGAGACAGTGCATGGACGCAATGGGCACCGTCCACCGCGGGGTCGCGGAAAAAGGAGAAGGCGGAGCTCCGGCCAGTCGGCCCTCTTCCCTCTGCCGTGCCGCCGGCTGCCAGGGACTCCCCTCGCAAGCCTCCAGTTCGCAGATGAGGGACCACTGTGTTTCTGATCTCGAGATGCTCCCTTGCGTTTATTTTGGGTTGATCTGATATTGTATCTTGCCTTCAGTGCCTTGGTCTTTTCATTGCTAGTTGCTCACACGTTGTCGTCCAAGTCGTCTTCGTACATATCTGCACATATTCAAGTACATTACAGACAATACACAGCTGGACGAACCGAAACTCCAAATTCACTTCACCAGCTTGGGACTGACATTGACAACGTCGAGGTACGCTTTTATAGCGCCATAGACACAATCATGGCCGTGGGAACAACACATCACCAGCCTCTACCGGACATGGCACAGATCAAGTCCACAGAAGCCGAGAGACCAGAGAGACGTGCAGTCGTCACCACCATAAACTACTACGACGACCCTGGAGATGGAACCCCTCCCACCCCAATCGTTGTAGGGGGGTAAGGCCGCCTTTCAATATCCATCTCTACAAGACTGTCCATTTCTCGAGTACCGTGTCAATGGCGCAATATACTCATGTCTTTTGTTCAACTCCAGTCAAAAAGTCACAAATGAGAGGAAAATGACACCTCGCACCGTCACCGTCACCGACATCAGAGGCGACGAGGACAAGTACACCCTCGACACCCACGGCTTCCAGTACGTCCGCCACACCAGCGTCGAGACGGACTTTACAGACGAAGAACGGGTCAAGGGCGTCTACTACCCCGAGATGGAGAAGCTGTACAAGGAAATGTAAGTCTTGCACGCTTTCATTTATCCAAGCCGGCCGCAAAGTGGGCGGGTGTTGGGCGGTGTAAGGTTTATTATATACACCAGTGGGGGCCAACATTCACAATTGAGGGCCCATGCTCACCAGGGTTCAAACACCACCAACAGCACGGGAGCAAGCCGGGTCGTCATCTTCAACCACCAGATCCGCCGCGGGCCGGCAAACTGGCACAGCCTAGGCGAGCGCAACACGGAGCACCGCGGCCCCCTGCACAAGGCGCACGTGGACCAGTCCTACGACGGCGCCGTCATGATGGCGAGGCACCACCTCGGCGCGGACGAGGCCGAGAGACTCCTCGACAAGGAGAAGCGGCGGTTCCAAATCATCAACATCTGGCGGCCCATCGCGACGGTCCGGCGGGACCCGCTGGCCGTTGCGGACGGGACTACGGTCGCGGAGGAGGACCTTGTCCCGGGTGCGATTATTTACCCCCGTCACCGGGCCGAGACGTGGACGATTAAGCCGAATCCGGCGCACCGGTGGTACTTTTTGGACGGGCAGAGACCGGATGAGGCGTTGTTTATCAAGTGTTTTGATTCTGATACGTCGGTTGTCCGGAGGGCTGCGCATTGTGCTTTTCGGGATCCGGAGATGGATGAGATGGAGTGTCGGCAGAGTATCGATATTCGGGCGTTGGTGTTTCACTGATGGGTTGGGAAGCTGAAGCATGGTTGTCTTACCTTGGTCATTGGTACAAGACATGGAGGGCACATCTCAGACGTTGAAGCTGTGCTTATTCAAGACAAGACGCTGAACGGTAGCGCGGGCGCATGGGTAGATACACGTGGGAAGACAGGACCTAGGTGTCCTAATGTAGATTGAGGAATGATGTACGCTATCGGATCTAGCAGATCTGATGCCAAGCCTCGGGAATCCTAAGCCAGCGTGCCTGTGATGGACTTTCTGGGAATTAACGACTACATCAACGAGACGATGCTTGCAATGAAGTGCGGTGGTCTCGTAGTGGTATGAGTAGTATGAGGCTCAGCATTTCAACGATCACACGGCTTGATTATTGGTCCAGACATCTCGATCGTTGACCAAAAGGGCTATCTCAAGATTCGATCATGCTCAACAGAATGGTCTCAGTAAAGGAGCTCTGGTGGACTCATGTAAAGCAGTGATGCGTAGCCCTTCACATCGTGATTTAAAGCTACGCCAAACACAACTCAAAACTCAACATTCACGACACCAGGTCCTCAGAAAAGCTCAATTGACTCCAGACTTCCATCTGCCTAGCAATAAGATGAATGGACAGGTATTCCCGGACGTCAATGGCTGCAAGATCTGCCGATGCCGTGACGTCACGGCTGCCGTCCGCCAAAGATGCAGAAACGCCAAAATTCAGGTTTCCACCCTTCCACTCGGTACCAGTCCAGACCAGCGCAAACTTGCGACAGGCGGCTCGCAATGGCGCCATGACAAGGACAAGCCGGAGTTCGGCACATGTGCCATGCTCTATTTCGCCCTATGCATCGTACCGGGCTGTCGTGCGACCAGGAGTCGACGTTGTAAAGGAGCTGCAACATATGTATGTCGCAGTTTACAACAGGGCAGAAGATGCGGCTTTCGACGGGATGGGCGGCTGGGACTTATCGATAAGATTCGCTGGATCAATCTTATCGAGGAGGTACGTGCCTCGACTGACGTGCTGGAGATGACGTCAAGACGAAAATAGAGTAGCAGGCCCCACCTCTCAGGGAGGAAACCAATGACGGCGTTCCATTGACCAATTCAAACCGCCAAAACGGACGGGACCTTCCCTGTGACCGGCGCACCGAGCGCGGGGCAGGCGTTCTTTTACGTTTTTGTTTCTGCAGCTTTCAGCTCACCAGATGCTTCCCATTCTACTGACATTGTCAGAGAGGAGGGCGAGATTGGTGTTTTAAATGCCTGGCTTGAGTCTCATAACCGTGATATGACCCATCATCCAGGGGCACGCGAGCCCTTGCTAAGCTGAGCAATGGAGCCTCGCAAATTAAGTTCAGCTGCGGACTCTTACCACCCTTCCAAGCTGTGGTCCCAACGGCTGAAAGAGGAGGCGCGAGACGCGTGGCATTGCATGCTCGGTTTGCTGGTCTACTGGCCTACTGGTCCCAAGACATGCTCCTCTTGGGCCTCGGGATCGTTTTCTCTCAGAGGCACGCAGATGGAGGGTGGGAGCTTGGCTGGATTCGATGGTGTCCCTGACGGGCAGACAGGGGCTGGATTCTTGCATCCGGATCATCACAGGCACAAGCAACCAGGGCCTCACTGGGCTGGTCAGCATGGATGATTGTCGTCCAAGACTCGAGTCGTTCGACCCAGCGGATCGTCACAGTTGCCCCGCCTTGAAATCGAGTGCGACTGTAATTATCCGTGGCTGCGTGCCTGTTTGCGCCTACGCAGGGCCGATACCGAGGTGGGTGGGAGGTACTTCATCCTGCATACAAATTTTACGCTATTCAAAAGTACCTGTTCTTAGTCTTGTCGTGTCTCACCACCAACAATCGTCGTGTGTGTCGTTCCCCCCCGTCCCAGCGTTGCGCCCACACTTTTCTCCCAAAGTGCGCGAGTGAGAGTTCCATTTTCTGTTCGCTTTCCTTGGCCTTGGATCCTGCTTCCGGCCGAACTACTCTCGATCCTCGCACCCCAATTAACCTGCTTGATTAGTTCTCCCGCCGGCGCACGAGTGACGGGAATGACATAGCCCGGGGTTTCTAATTTCAAGGTTTCCCTCCAAGCTTTACTACTTTCCCCTTCCCACGCGCCGTCCCTCCATTACCGTTCTTTTCTTTCTCTTCCTCCGTCTCGTCTTCTCTTCTCCCTGCTCCTGAACCCATTCCCACACCTACAAGTCCAAGCTACACGAAGCTTAAACACTTTCCACTGACCTTTCCCCATCCGAGTGCTGCATACTCGGGCTGGAATGCTTCAACTTGTTCACCCCGCCATCCAGTGTACCCCGCGCATCCTATGATACCCCTCCACACCAGCCACACCCATTAACTTCAACTTCAACAATCCGTTCCGTTCCCCACGACTTCATGATCTAGAGATACCAACTTTGAGAGCTTGCGCACTTCTCCCATTCGAATACCCCCTCCGTTCAAAGCCCAGGGCAACCAACCGTAATCATGGGGCTCATGACCACAAGCGACCATGGCCACAAGAAGGAGGAAAGCGGCAGCGGCGGCGGTTTCATGGACAAGCTGAAGAAGCCATTCCGGGAGCTGGAGGACAAGCTCGAGGGCACCCATCTCCATGACGCAAAAGTTCATCTTGTGCACAAGAAGCACCAGATTGGCAAGCTGGCCAACCTTGTAAGACCGTTTCCCTCCCCATTGAAGCTCATCCAACATGGAAAGCTAGCTGCCTGGAGCGACCAGCACAACTGACTTGCGCCCCAGTTCAACGCCAACCACCGCCACGACGAGGAGCACGAAAAGGCCACCGACGACAAGCGGACAAAGATCGGAGAGGAGCACCGATTCAAATCCTTCTTCCCGGAGCGCGACGGCAACCTGATCAAGTGGTACGTCGATGGACGCGACTACTTCTGGGCCGTCTCCGAGGCTCTCGAGACCGCAAAGGAGACCATCTACATTTGCGACTGGTGGTTGTCCCCCGAGCTGTTCTTGCGCCGCCCCCCTCACCACAACAAGGAATGGAGGCTGGATCAGGTCCTGAAGCGCCGCGCCGAGGCCGGCGTCCAGATTCACATCATTGTCTACCGTGAAGTTGAGGCCGCTCTGACGTGCAACTCTGCCCACACAAAGCATGCTCTGCAGGCTCTATGCCCCGAGGGCTCGCCTGGCTACGGCAACATCAAGATTATGCGCCACCCCGACCACAATGTCCTCTCCAACGGCGCCGACATGACATTCTACTGGGCCCATCATGAAAAGTTCATCGTCATTGACTATGCCATGGCCTTTATCGGAGGTCTCGATCTGTGCTTCGGTCGCTGGGACAGCCACACCCACCCTCTTGCCGACGCGCATCCCGAAGGCGTTCAGAACGAGGTCTGGCCCGGACAGGACTTCAACAACAACAGAATCATGGATTTCCAAAACGTTCAAGACTGGAAGCAGAATGAATTGAGCAAGGCCGAGTACGGGCGCATGCCCTGGCATGACGTATCCATGGGTGTCGTCGGCCCCTGCGTCTACGATATCGCAGAGCACTTTGTCCTGCGCTGGAACTTTGTGAAGCGCGACAAGTACAAGCGCGACGACCGCTTCGACTGGATCCAGCTGCGCGGCCGCCTGGCTGAAGACGAGGACCTCGTGGGAGTCCAACGGCCTAAGCATCCTGTCGGAGAGTACCTCACCCACCCTCTGGACGAGAAGAGCCTGTCGAACCTGGAGAACAAGGGATCCATGCACGCCCAGATCGTGCGGTCCAGCGCCGACTGGTCTAGCGGTATCCTGACCGATCACTCGATCCAGAACGCCTACTGCGAGATCATCAGCAAGGCCGAGCACTTTGTCTACATAGAGAACCAGTTCTTCATCACCGCCACCGGCGACCAGCAGGCACCGATCCACAACCGAATCGGCCGAGCTATTGTCGACGCCGTCGTGAGGGCTGGCAAGGAGGGTCGCAAGTTCCGCGTCATCGTCCTCATCCCCGCCATTCCCGGTTTCGCCGGCGACCTCCGAGATGATGCGGCCACGGGTACCCGTGCCATCATGGACTACCAGTACAAATCAATCTGCCGCGGCGAGCACTCCATCTTCGAGCAGGTCAAGAAGGAGGGCATCGACCCCAGAAACCACATCTTCTTCTTCAACCTGCGCTCCTACGACCGTCTCAACCGCACATCCGCCGTGGAGAAGAGAGAAAAGGACACGGGCGTCAAGTACGCCGAGGTGCAGCGCGCGCAAGCCGAAGAGGTCATGGGCACGGGAATCCACGGCATCAACGACCCCACCGAGAAGGAGCGCGACGAGCACATGGGCGCCAAGGCCGAACAGGTCGGCGGCGGCAAGACCACGGAAGCCCAAAACGCCATCGACGCCAAGCAGCGCTTCGAAGCCAGCCTCGGCGACGCGCAGCTCAGCAACAAGACCTCAGTCGCGCAGCACGCCATGGCCAACTCCGGATCCATCGAGGACGAGCCGTGGGAGGACGAGGACCCGGAGACGGAGATCCGCAACTGGATCCAGGAGGAGCTCTACATCCACTCCAAGCTGCTCATCGTCGACGACCGCATCGTCGTCTGCGGCTCCAGCAACCTCAACGACCGCAGTCAGCTGGGATACCACGACAGCGAGCTCAGCATCGTCATGGAGGACACGAAGCGTGTGCCGAGTACAATGGACGGCAAGCCCTATGAGGCCGGGTGGCACGCGACCTCGCTGCGCCGGTACCTTTGGCGCGAGCATCTTGGCCTTCTGCCCGCGCAGGACCTGGACGGGTCGCAGGACCCCAACGCGCGCCCGCCGGGCCACGCGGAGAATGACCCGTGGGACCGCGACGAGACGTGGAAGTTTGTCGAGGATCCGATGAACGACGAGCTGTGGGAGATGTGGACGGGCAACGCTACGCGGAACACGGATCTGTACCGTCACCTGTTCCACGCCGATCCTGATGACCACAGTATGTTTTCCTCTCACATTTTGCGGTTTTGAATCAGAGCTAACATCATTACCTACAGTCAAAACCTTTGACGACTACGACAGATACCTGCCGCCAAAGGGCGTCAAGGCGGGCCATATTTTCGATCAGTTCATGCCCGCGGCGGACGCGCGGCAAAAGATTGACCAGATCAAGGGCCACCTCGTCTGGTTCCCGCTCGACTTTTTGCGGGACGCCGAGATGGCGGAGAAGGGACTGCAGGTGAATCAGATTACCGAGAGTATCTACACCTAAGACACCAGGAAATTGGATATTGTCTTGGTTTATTATGGATGAAAGGCCAAATGGTGGAATAGGGGGGAACAGATGGATATTGGAGGAGTTTGGAAAAAACATCCCTATGAATAACGTGAATTAATGCATTAATACCAACAAGGGCCACTTTGGCTTGTGCTTACTGTTATTGTACTAGCACATGAATGGTGCCCTTTTGATAGACACTCTTGCAGAGTTGAGCGATCCAACCCTTTACGAACTTTTACTAGATGAGTGATCATCGTCCCCGAACCATCATGGACGAGAAATTAGGTTATTCGCCTGAATGAGCTATGCTTATGGGCTTCCTGTGTTTCTATGATGCCATCGCTTCTTCCATGCCTACATCAAAATGCTGTTTTCTTCTCAGACCAAATGTGATGATGGCCAGGCTCATTGACCCTGGTTAAAGTTCATCGAGTACCCTCCCGTCTTCTCATCCTTGACCATCTGGAAGTTATCCGTACTCAGTCCAAACGGCTTCAGAATGCCGTTGCCCAGCTATACCCATATGTTAGCAAGCACAACACTGTCACAGCAATCTCTTGAATTTTCATGTTCAGGGACTCACATCCTTAAGCTTCCCCCACATCTCCGCCGTCTCCGCCTCCTGCGCAGCCTTGGTCCTCGGCGGCAACACCCTCAACTGCGTCTGCACAATCTTGCGATCCGCGCCCGCGAGGTTCCCCATCTTAGCCAGCGCTTTATAATCCTCCTCCGCGCCCGCGAGGTTCTGCCACCCGCCCTCCTCGCTCCGCGCCCTCGCCCTCCGCATGAGCGCCTTCGCCCGGATACGCAGGACGTCGTCCGCTCTCTTCCTGCGCGCGACTTCCTCCTCATCTTCCGCGGAGGTGACGGGCGCGGGGGCAGCGGCGCTGGCGCCGGAGCTGACGATTTCCTCCTCCACGCCCTCTTCCTCTTCGGCCTTGCGCTTCTCGCGGCGTTCCTGGGCGAGGGCGGATTCCTTGTCGATGCGGTCTAGGGAGTCGAGGGCGGCGGAGGCGGAGGAGATTGCGTCTTTCCACTGGGAGAGTTTGAGGTGGCAGGCGGAGATGTTGGAGCGGAGGACGGCGAGGTCGTAGTCTAGGTAGTTTGGGCAGACGGAGACGGCCTCGTCGTATTTTGCGATGGCGGAGGTGTATTGGGAGGATGCGAAGAGGGCGTTTGCTTCGGTTTTGTGGGTGTTGGATTCGGATAGGAGGGACTGCGGTGTGTTAGATGAGGGGATTGAGATCAAGGTCGGAGTAGCTTTTCATGGTCCATGAGGTGAGAGTTGAGCTCATCGTAGAGGTGGAGTGAGATTGAGGGATCCGGCACTTGCCAGCCATGGCTTCATGTGATTTCATTTGTATACCTGAAGAGCTTACTCGAGAAGATTAAAATGCATAGAATGAGAGCAAGGGAACAATTTGCCTTACCGCCTCCTCTTCAGGAGAGAACTTCTCCTGGACCTCTTCAGGCTCATCCTTGACCGACGTACTCTTGCCCTTGCCCTGGGCATCCATCTCTGTCCCCTTGGACGCCATCTTGACGGTAACAGTGAATTGTCGTAGGCTTGCTTGACGTTGAGTGTAGATGTCAAGCTGAGCCAAAGAGGTTGCAGGCAAGGCAGCCCCAGGAATGTCGTCACTGAGGTGTCTCGTCCCCACGTGGATTTGGTGCGGGTGGGACGTTGAGGCTGTTCACATGTTTTTGGGCGGTGGAAGCCACATCTTGCTGACCCAATTCGCTACAGGTACCTGGCGGATACAGCGCTTTAGGGGTCTTTCAGCGGCTGGCCTGGCTGGGATCCAATCGATTTACCATGAGTGAGTACAGTATGCGCTGTCGCTTGAACTGTACTCCTCTTATGGCTATACTATTGTTCGTAGGTTTGAGGTGCATTTAGTAGAATCAAGCTGTCTACATTACGGAAATAGGTAGCCCGACGAGAACACCATGTTGAAGTATTTCAGTGTGAGAATATCTTAGAGACATTCGACTCTTCTTTGTATTAGTCACGGTGACTTCCTCCCTCATACCGTAGGTACCCATGCGGCATCCTAAGGTGTGATGCCAAAGGTAAAAGGTACAAGCACAGTGTACGGGGATACATGGCCCCACTTCCCCGTCTGGTCGCCATTTTATTCGGGAAAGAGCTGAGCGACCCCTCCATCGGTGCCTTCCGCTTCCGTTTTCACCCCGCCGTTGTTCCTGAACGCCCCTGCCCGTTTGACCTTTTGGCTTCCTGTCCATTGTTCCTTCCGTCCCTCAAGTTCACTTTGTTGACTCAGGTCCTTCCGAGAAAGGATCAAAAGGCCTATTTTGGCTGCTGCTAAAAAAAATCCTCCGCCTTTTTCTTCACCTCCACAAACTTTCCTCGCGATACCCCAACTGGAGATTTCTCTTTTTCTTCAGACCTCTTCCATCACCTTTCCCTCTTCCACCCTCAACCACTCCTCCTTCGACAATTGTCTCGAGGATACTCAATTGCTACCTCCTCTTCCTCTCTCTTACCTTCGCACTCCCCATCCATCCCACCGTCGTCACAACTTGCCTACCGTCGCAATGGCTCCTCGCACCGAGTAAGTCTTCTCTCCTCCTTCGGCCTCAATGAATCGATTGACTGATCTTGACCTATCTAGCTTCCCTCCCGTCCGGGCCTGCCTGTTCGACATGGACGGCCTCCTCCTAGACACCGAAGACCTCTACACCGCCTGCATCAACATCGTCCTCGAGCAGTACGGCCGCCCTCTCCTTCCCTGGAACATCAAGGCTAAGCTTCAGGGCCGCCCTGGTCCTGACGCCACTCGCATCTTCCACGAGTGGGCTCAGCTCCCCATTACCCATGAGGAGTACCACCAGAAGCTGTCCGCTCTCCAGCGCCAGATCTTCCCCTCCACCAAGCCTCTCCCCGGCATCCCCCAGCTCCTCCAGAACCTCGGTCGCACCCGCTACTTCGACCACAAGCCCGCCACTGCTGACGGCAAGACTGCCCAGCGCGTTCACATTGCCCTGGCCACCTCCTCTCACGAGGCCAACTTCAAGCTCAAGTCTGACCACCTGACTGAGCTCTTCTCCGTCTTCCCTTCCCAGCGCCGTGTCCTGGGTGACGATACCCGCATTGCCCCTGGCCGCGGCAAGCCCAACCCCGACATCTTCCTTCTGGCCCTCAAGACCATCAACGAGTCTCTTCCCGAGGGCGAGAAGCCCATCACCCCCGAGGAGTGCCTCGTCTTCGAGGACTCTGTTCCCGGTGTCGAGGCTGGTCGCCGCGCCGGCATGCGTGTTATCTGGTGCCCCCACAAGATGCTCCTCAAGGAGTACGCCGGCCGCGAGAAGGAGGTCCTCGCTGGCCGCACTGGCGAGGCCGGCCAGGTCGACATGCACCAGGTCGGCGAGATTGACGACGGCTGGGCCGAGTACCTGCCCACTCTCGAGAACTTCCCTTACGAGAAGTTTGGCATGACCATCCCTACCATTGAGGTCGACAACGAGCCCTTTATGAAGGAGAACGTCAGCGGCAGCGTCGTCGCCAACACCAACGGCTCTGCTTAATGCACTACTTTCAGCAAGCAAGAAACTCTTGCAACGTGGCTTGGCATAATTCCTAGCTTGACCCCGCAGACTATGAGTTTTCTTGCCTTCTTTTCTCTTTGTTGAGCAATTTTCACGAAGAAACGGCGATAGATGGGACAAACGGATTTCACGACGATTGGACGAATGGGTCAATGGATTTTGGGCACATCATTAGAAGATGAGTCTGGAAAGGGAAGGAAAATCAACTTTTTTCCATAGAAAGTTCTTGGTGTCAAGACACTGAGCGCTTGACATTTGCTTTTTGAGCATTGGCATTGCGATAAATTCCCTCCCGCGTTAGACAGAGCCCCAGCATCCCCTTCCCCATTCGAATAAAACAAGATACCAGATAATACAGATAACGATCCAAAACGGTTCCTTAAACCTAGAGTACTTTGTGTGTGACGAACTGAAAGAACAGTAAATAAGGAGCAAAAGTGTGTGCCCAAGATAGAATAATAGTAAATATCTCATGGTATCGGTGCCCTTTGCAGAGCAATCTGGGGTCTCCCAACCATTGGAGCCTCTTCAAGTGCTGGAGCGCATCTCAGCATAAAAACCATCTTTCCCCCTTTGTCTGTGTGAAGTGCCGGAACGCCCACATGTCCCATTGTCCATTTGCAATTCCTTCCAACAACCCTCATGGTGCTCTGAACCATGGACTCTGACGCGATGCTTTGCCGACCGTCCTGTAAAGCCGTGGTGCCCTCCTCTCCGAATTGTAGCCTTTGTATGAAAAAGATGATGCAGGAGAAGAGAAGAAGAACCAAAAAAAAGATAAAAGAGGATAAAGGGAGTCGTAATCGTAAGGTAGGGTGGGTTAGCAAACCAGTGCCAGCCCTCTTTTGGGTTTTCGGTGAATCCACGATGTTGAAACGTTTGGAGAGCAACTGTCCGCCTCCTGTTTTCTTGAAGAATATTATATATATGAACCCGTCCTTTCCCTCTCTTACGGTTTCGTTGCAAGGGCTCAGGTTGGAACAGTGGAGTAAAGTAAGAAAAAGAAGAAGAAAAAGAAAAAAGACAAGCCAACTTTGAGAAAAGAAGAATAGAAAAAGAAGCGAAGGAAGAGGTTATCATGGGAAACCCTGGTAGCTATACGAATCATGGCGATTCGGCGGCTTCCACCAGTCTTTGTAGGGGGCATTCGGCAAACTAAAGTCGGCATACGAAAGCGGGTTCACGAGAGCCTTCATCGGCGCAGAAGCAGCAGCGCTCGACGCAGACGGCGCGCTCGAAGTCGCCATGGCAGGCGGGTTCCCCGGCGGACCCGGTCTCCCACCACCATAACTCCCCACGGAACCTCGATGGTCCCCAGCAGCACCACCCGACGGACCGCTAAGCGAAGCGTGCGACGGCGCGGGCGAAGGCCAGCCCCACGCCTTCTTGAGCTCGCCGTGGATGCTGCCGAGGCGCCACCCGCTCTCGGCGTGGATCTTGTCGAGGATCTCGAGGACCTCCTCCTGCTCGCGCGGGTCGGTGAGGACGGCGGAGGCGATGGCGAGGGAGCGGATCGCGACGGAGGCGACGCCGCGGTCTTTTGTGTGGGCTACGATGCCGCAGACTTGGTGGGCGTGGTGGAGCTGGAGGGCGCGCATTTCTTCCGAGGCGCGGCCTGGTTCCATTGGGTTTGTCTGGGCGAGGAGGCATTGGGCTGTGTGGTAGAAGAGGCGGCCGATGATGGCGGCGCGCTTGATGAGCCTTTGGAGTTTGTTAGTTCACGTAGAATGGCTGAGGGGGGAAAGTTTGAGAGAACGTGAGGAGGGCGAGACTTACCAGACGTTGGGGAAGGCGGATTTGGAGTTTGTTTGCGATGGGTAGAGGTATCCGAACGGGTGCATCGTCCTCGGGCAGGCGTTGTTCCACTTGTCGCAGAGCTTCTTGAGATCCTGCCACTGCTGGAGCCTATTACCCAGGCGGATCTGCTCGTCGTGCGGGCTCGGCTCCTGGAACCGCGGGATCGTGGCGCGGAAGTTTGCAATCTTGGCCACGATGTACAGAATCCGATGGACCCAGACCTCCTCCTGTCCGAAGCCGTCACCGGATCTTGCAGCCGCCGCCGCCGATCCAGCCGGACCGCAGCCCTCGTTGGTGAAGTTCATATCCAGACCCCACTGATCGGGATCCCACGACGTCTGCCAGTTGAAGGCGAGGCACGAGAGCACCTCCATGCCGATGTTGAGCCAGAAGCACGCGGCGCCGATGCCGGAGGACCGGGCGTCCCACTTACACTCGCGGACGAGGGCGCGGGCGCCGGCGATGTGGTTCATGCGCTGGGCGGGCTTCTCGGACATGATTTCGTAGACGTTGAGGACGACGGCCGTGGTGGCGCACTCGCCCGTGTTGCGATCCGGGTTCTGCAGGCTGCGGAGGAGCTGCGTGGTGGCGGTGTCGTAGTAGAAGAGGGCCTTGTCGTCCTCGTAGGCCGGGTTGACGAGCGTGAGGTGCTTTACGCCGCAGGCGAGGAAGGCGTTGAGGAGCATGGGGGATTTGAGGGCGTGGTAGGGGATCAGGCGGGAGAAGTGCTTTTCTTTGTCGAGAGAGTCCATCCAGACGCCGACCTCTTCGACGAAGACTTGCATGTAGAGGATCTCCTCGGGGGAGTTGAGGTATTCCCTCTCGCCAGCGGTGGCCTTTTCGCTCGGCGGGGGGGTCATCATGCCGTCTACGGCCAGGGGGTTCCCGGCGGCGGCGGCGCTGCTGCGGTAGCTCGGTGGCGGGGCGGTGGGTTGCGGGACGATGGAGGCCGCGCTCGAGGCGTCGCTGTCGCGGTGGTGGCCGTGGGCGCGGCTGTTGGGGATGCCGCCGGCGCCGGTGTCGCGGTACGAGGCGAAGTGCTCGTGGAGGCTGTAGGGGTGGTGAGGTGCCGTCTGCGCTGGGTGAGCCGAGTTTTGGGGCGTGAGGTAGGCGGACTCGCTCTCGCGGCGCGGGTAGGCTGATGATGATGATGATGACTCGATGGGTCCTCCTCCGACTCCTGCTCGCGGGGGAGGGGGATCGCGATAGTACGGGTGGTGGCTGTAGGCCGGGGGCGGCGGCGGCGGTGGTGGGTGGTGGAGGAGGTGAGTTCTCGGTGAGACGGAGGCGTCTGGGCCGCTTGCTCTTGCGTGTGGGAGTAGGTGGGATTGATGCCGGAGGGTCGGCTCTAGGTGGCCTAGATGCCGTGGCGGAGGGGCGACGGCGGCCTTTTTATCAAGATGAGCGTACCGGCCGAGGCCTCCGACGTATTCTGAGGCGATGAGCCTCGATTCATCTTGGAATTGAACTGTAGGTTCGTTAGCATGGGGGTCCAAGTACTTCATCCTGACCGTTTTCAATCCTCTTTCTTCAAGAGATGATGAGTGATGCACAGAGGGGGTGAGTGGCCGACGGAAATGAGCAATCGATTAAAATGAGGGCATTCGCAACTCACCTGACCACTCAACAGTGGGTGGCATGTACGGCGGTTTCTTGACCTGCACGTCTATAAAATTAAGCCTCACGCCGCGTTTGCATTCTCGACTGCTTTTTCGACAATTTAGACAGTCTGGTAACCCTTCGTCACATTTTAGATGCCGTTCCCTACACGTTAGACAGCCCGTCCGCACTCGTTTTGATTTGGTGGCGGTCGCGGCGGCGGCGGCGGCGGATTTCTCTGGGGACTTGGGCTTGACGAGCAGGTCGCGCGACGGGGTGAGGGAGTGGATGCTCGCGCTGCGGCGGGGCGGGATGTGGGAGCTGGGCAAGTTCATGGTGTCTGCGGCGTTGTGTTGGTAGTGCTGTTGATGATGGTGATGATGATGCTGCTGGTTGAGATAGTTGGACTGGTGGTGTTGGTGATGATTCCCGAGATACGAAGATGCCGATTCCGAGTTGGAGGCGGCGTCGGCGTCGGGGCCGAGGGTAAAGTCTGGCGTAAAGTCGGAGGAGAAGCCGAAGGAGAGGGAGGAGACCTGGTCCTCGTCGTCGTCGTCGTCGTTGTCGCCTCCTACTAGGTGGTAAGGATCGTGGACGAAGTCGAGGGGCGGATGCTCAAAGGGATTCAGCACCGCCGAACCGAGGCCAAAGCCTGGCACGAGGACGCCTGCAGAGGCGTCGTATGCCTCCAGGGCTACTCGAAAGATCCGTCTCTGGCGAGTAGAGACGGATGGGGATCGATGAGGGTGGGAGCGATGCGCGGCCTATTTCTTTCAGTGATTGCTCGGGACACCTGATTGTGGTGAAGTGGGTTGCGATTGGGAGGTCGTCGTGGGCATCAAACGCTGGTTGACGTTGTTGGAAGTTGGTGATGTCGCTGTCGATGTTTTGTGTCGTGAGAGAGAAAATGCGCTGATGAGCGGTCGTTGGATGAGATTATTCGGCCCTCTCACGATGAGAGTGAAAAGAGGCGCGTAGGCGGGGATTGGAGTGAGTGAGTGAGCGAGTGAGTGAGAGCGCGCAGCTGCAGGGGGCTCTCTCTCTCTCTTCTCTCTCAAAGTGTTCTCTCTCAAATGTACGGAGCCGAAAATGGGGGGCTACTAGGAAGAGGCAGCCTATCGCGGGGAAGGGAGAGAGGAGTCTGCGGGTTATCGAGTTTGCTATCTCGGTACTGGACACTATGTTGGTCCTAGGTGGTGGTGAGATTGAAGACGACGATCGGAGTCGAACGGGTTGTCGGCTATGCGGTGCGCGCGATGCAGCAGCGTTGAGGGCGTCGGGTAAGGGGGTGAGGTGTGAGGTGAGAGTGTGTCGGTGAGTGAGTTGAGCGTCGAGTCGAGTTGTGAGTGTGTAGTGTGTGTGTGAGAGAGAGAAAGCGGAGAATGGAGTGCGGTTTGTGAGAGTGAAAAGTCGAGATGTAAAAGTCACAAGCTGCTAGTCGCCTCCTGGGATGGAACGGGATTGACTTGACTAGCGTAAAAGATGGTGAAGTGTGAAGAGTGGTCCCCTTTTCCCTGTCTCTCTCACTCTCACTCTCTGTGCTGTGTGTGCTCTGTGCTCCGTCTCTTTCAGGCCAGGGCGTTACGTTGGGTAATACCTTACGGTGTGTGGTAAGGTGTGGATGGTGTGTGTGAGTGAGTGCGAGCGAGTGTGTGTGTGGACGGTACAGGTGGAGGGAAGGGTGAGACTTGGTCTGTTCTCGTGCCCGCTAGGTCGTTTACATATGCAGGAATCCCGGGCGATGGGTGGGCGGACTGTGGACAGTCTGGGGCGAGGCGCTGTACCGAGTAGGCAGTGCGTGGGTGTTGGAGAGACTTGGACGAGTGGGCAGTGGGTGCAACAGAGTTCTCGTTCCTCTTTTGCCGGCGTGGTGTCGTCTTGTCTCTGATGCTGCGATCTCCCCGGTCCTATCCGGCCTTGGGTGTATCTGCTTCAAGATAGTCAAGGGTGGAGGGAAGACTTGTATCGCGCTACGATGTCGCTGATGATTCCCATCAGAGGGCAGGACAACGAGGCAGAAGGGATGCGAACAAGAACGACAACGACATGAGAACCTGGGCGGCGGAGGATGGAGACAGGTAAGGTAGGTAGTGTCGAGAGTTGAAATCTCTCGGCAAAGGAGCGGGATCAAGCGGGATGGGTTTCCCAACTGAGAGGGTACCTCAGGTCGGGATCGGGGGTGCCAGGACTCCAGGAGCCAGCCAGGAGACAGGGGGGTGTGGCCCTTGGGGGTCTTGTTCCCTCCCTGGGTTATGGTTGTGAGGGAGTGTTCTAGCCAAGACAACAAAGTCTTGGGATGGAGAAACGTCGCGAAAAGCCGCGAGTACGCTGGTTTGTCGCAGATGGCGCAAACTTGGTGATGGAGGAAAAGTCTTGGTCAAGACTACGTGTGTGATCCTTCTTGGCCTCAAAACCTCAACGGCTCTTGGCTTTGTATTGAGATGTGTTCCGTCTAGTGTCAAGTCGACGGGTGGGAAGGAAGAAAGTCTTGGGTTGAAAGGATCTTGGGGAAAAAGGAATAGAGATGCTGCGGGAGAAGAGCGTTGACGGGCCGGCTATGCTATGTTTAGGTAGTAGGGCAGACAGAGTGGGTAGTCGAAGCCGAAGAGAGATTGAGTGACGCCGGTTCTCGGGCGAGTGGGCAGGCCGGCAACCAGATACATACAGGCACAGAAGGGAGTCGGTCAGTGACCGATGGATGGATAATGAATGGACGTCGGAATTGAGTGAGTCCAGAACTCTTCCCCCTCTCTTCCTCTTTCACACCAGGTACGGATTTTACTGGAACGGGGGCGTGGATAAGGTAGAGCAGCAAGAAAACAAATCACCTACCCATGCCTGAGAGGCAGGTACATCATACATGAGAGTGTGGGCGCAAAGGCGGGGAGGCTGAGACTGAAGATTTACGAAAGGGAGGGAGAGATGAGAGCCTGGGAAGGCAAGTGGGTGAAGAGATTGGATGCCGGTCAATCGAAGGTTGCAATACTTAATTACTGCCTGCTTATCATTTCTTACTCTCTATTTCTGCTGTTAGTTATATCTTCTATGTATTCATCAGAGAGCACTCTTGGAAGAAAGCACATTCAGAAGAGTCGCAGAAAAAGAGCTGGGGCATATGGATACAGCGGCAAATGATTATGTCACTCTTTTGGATTGGAAGGGGAGAAGATACAGTGGGAAGAGTGCGAGATTCAGTGACACAGTGACAACTTGAGGCGAAGGAGGGCGGTGCGAGCGATGATGGACGACCTGTGGGTGTGTCCCCAGATGCAGAGAGGAGAGAAGTGAGCTGGGCAGACGAAGAGCGGCCGCGTAGGACGTGTGCGATGGACGCACCACACGGGCGTGTCTCGATCTCAGCACACCATCCACAACGTAACCAAACGTTCCCTCCTCTCGCTTGATTTAGCACTTTTTGTGTGGGATCTTCTAAAACCGGAGCGGTCCCTTGGTTCCACTTTTTAAGATGGAAGAAGCGTTTGCCGATGGTGACAGCCACAGCAAGTCTGTGGTTCAGAGGCCCGTACCTGTTTTGATAGTGACGATCACGTTGGCTTTAGAGAGCTGGGATTGAGCATGTGTTGACGTCGTGAGTGTGTCGTTGTGCGAGTGATTGTCAGAGAAGAAAACATCTACTGAGAAAGACTCGAAGAGAGGAGACTTCTCTTGAGCAACACGGCCGTGGTCCGACGTGCTCCATCATCTAACCTGGCCTGAGCTCGGAATATCCGCCTTTCGGCGCCGGTTATCCGTTCTAAACTCCTGATCGAGTTGCTGGCCAGCTGAAAGAGAGAGACTATGCCGGGCCGATGAAGACGAAAAACCAGATCAGTATCCAGCACAAGATCGGGCCCCCTCTCTCCTTTCCAGTATACTAGTGGCAATGCAGGTTCTCCAAAACCTGCCAATGTTGCACACTCAAAGCAATAACTACTCAGCCAAGTTCTCCATAACCTACACAGTCGACACTACACAGTAAGATGCCACTGAAGAATGACGGGGATCAGGACCAGATCAACTCGCGATCCTTGTTCCGAGACCCGCGTCTCTCGGACCATGCAGCAGAAGCGCACACACACAGCCACAGCACACGGCTCCTTCACCCAATCATCCTCGCTCATCTCCCTCATGCACTTCCCACTCCCACATGCCCGTACCTTGCGCGGGACTGGTGTTGCAGATCCGCCTTTCCGGGGTTCCAGGTGCCGCTAGAATCATGGTCGAAGGGCTGGAAGAGCGCTGCCTCAGCCAAAGAGCACAG